CCAAACATACCGATAATGGCTTGTTGTCGCTATGCCCTCAGGCAGGGATCTGAGCGCCTCCTGGTGAATTTATGACGAACCAGGTCCATATGATCCATCTCGGTAAACTCATCTCCCCTTGTCAACAATTTATCAAAGGCAGCCTGCAAATTCCTAATCGAAGGGTTGGATGAAGCCTCGGGGTCCATAGCTCTTTCCCACACTTTGCCAATTGCCTGAACGACCTCGGCTACCACGCCTGTGCGATCACCAATGCTGTCATCAGACACAACCTTGATATTGTACTTGCGACATAAACCCCTTGCACGTGGGGAGTTTGGATCCAAGTCCAACAATTCGGTCAAAGGTGGTGGGCGTGGTGTTGTCCTCTCTTGAGTGTAGACGAAGACAGGAGCCAGGCCGAAAACGAAGGCATCGCCTGGCCGAGTTGGCAGAATGGCAGCTCCTCCTTGGCCCTGGAGTCGTAATTTGGCCTCTTGTGATTTTGTCAGATACTTCCGTGATCCCAGAGTACTATTGGACCTTGAGGCGCCAGGGGAAGACATGCCTGGTTTGTCAGAGGCAGGAGCTGGAGCAGACGTGCCAGGTGTTTGAAAATCAATGGAAGGCTGAACAGCCAAGGCCGGGGTAAATGAACGATGGACTTGAAAATCGAAAGGGGATCCTTTATTAGCCGAGGCTGGTGCAGGGTTGTTAGGCTTTTGGAAATCGAAAATGGATGGCTGACGAGCCGAGGACGGGGGAACAGGCGGCACATTCGTTGAAGTGTCCACTTGCTGAAAATCAAAAATCGATGCCTGACGAGCCGAGGCTGGTGCAGGGATGTCAGGCTTTTGGAAATCGAAAATGGATGGCTGACGAGCCGAGGACGGGGGAACAGGCGGCACATTCGTTGAAGTGCCCACTTGCTGAAAATCAAAAATCGATGCCTGATGAGCCGAGGCTGGTGGAGATCTGCCAGGCTTCTGGAAATCGAAAATCGATGGCTGATGAGCCGAGGACGGGGAAACAGGCGGCACATTCGTTGAAGTGCCCACGTGCTGAAAATCGAACATTGATGCTTGATGAGCCGAGGTTG